CCCCCCAGTAGCACAGCGGTATGTCTGCGGACTTACAACGCTAGAATCCGGGTTTCGATACCCGTGGTGGGCAGAGCACAGATAGCCCATTGTGCTTAACTTCAAAAAACCAAACAACACTCCAACTATAAAAGCGACAAATCTGCAGCTACGGTTAAAATAAATTGAAAACTACTGTAACAAATGGAGAACCAAATAAACACAAATCATGTTATTCACAAAACAGCAAACACCCTCCAATGTTATACCTTTATGGATCTCTTCTCCATCTAGCCACATCAGCCAAATTCCTGGGCCTAGCCTACGATTCTAAATTAAGTTGGACTAAACACATAAATGATATTAGAATCACTAAAGCATACAGAGTTCCTAGATACACACACACACACAACATTCTTAGAGAATTACCCAAACATCCCCATGTTCAAAATAGATCAATAGATTACTTTCGCAAAACTTTTTAACAAAAATGAATCATAATGAACGTTGGAATTTTTACCATACATGATATCGCTGTTTGTTAAGTACAAAGCTACAGAAATACGGCCAACCACGGGTATCGAAACCCGGTTTTAAGTCCGCAGACACCCCACTGTGCCACTGTGGGGGGGGGGGGGCTACATAATGATAACAGACCTAAGTACCTCTCACCATTAGATCTAGTAAACTCCTTATGTATTATATGGCCACCTACTACTGGGCAAACCGGTAGCTAGATATAGTGTTAATTTTATTTTAAAATGGTTTATTTATGTGAAAATAGGATTAGTACTATATGTTTTCAATTGATATTTATGGAACTGTTTATGTGAACAAATCTTTATGTTGACAATGAACAAAATTAGAGAAGTTTATATCAGAAAACTCGAAAAATCGATGTCATACATTCATGGACACGACCTGAAAAGGGTCAGTCGCGTGTGCGAATGAACATTGCTACGCATATACAGTAAATGCATGATGTAAGAATGGGTTTTCCTAGCTACCGGACATTTTATTGAATAATTAATGTGGGCTTCATTCAACACCTAAATCAATAGACAAGGAGGGTGATAGAGGTCCAGGTTTATCTGATCATCCCAGGTCACACGACCAAACAACGACCAAGCATGACGTATAGAGAGTGAGGGGGCCGTCTTAGCGATATCGTGCGTTTGATTCAAACTTTGTATTTTGTAGGTATAGATAATTATTGTTTGTAATTATTTGTGTTTAACATTGCTTTATATGCCCTATGATTAGTTTCCAATTGTTAATTAATTTGAGTTTATAGTATAATCCATTTATATTTCATTTTGCTAACCTCTAAAAAAAAGGATGTCCTAAGTAGTGAATTTTTCTGTTATTTTAACATTGTATCCGATAGATGGCAGCCTATTATTACTCTGATTGGTTTTAAATTATCTTATTCAAACTCATAGATAAATATATAAATAATTACATTTAATTTCGAACAAAGCTTCTTTCATACTAGTTGTTATGCGAATAAATATATATTCAAGTTATTATCAACTGTTCGATTTATTATGTATTACGATAACTTAAATAAGAATTGCGTAACTCCACATCTATTATTTTTTGTTGTTGTTTACCTGAGTTAACCTGTAGGAGAGACCACCAGGTGGCTGGTTTATGTATGAACTATTATTTCGTAATAATTCTCCTAAGTCGCCATATTGCATGAATTCAAAAACCATCCAAGGAACAGCTTCGGCTTCTGCAAGAAATTATTTGTGTAATTACTTTTAACCAAAGGAATACAAATAACTTATTTAAAAGACAAACTGAGCCTATGGATATCATTCTATCTATACTTAGTATGTCACTAATGTCACTACCAGAAAAGGTTTGATACAAATCGGCATTAATCCTAATTATTGCCTAAGTGCACCCAGACAAACGTTAAAGGATTTACGTAGCATTAAAAAACTGTTTATGGCTAAGAGTTTTTCCTAAAATAAAATTAACAGTAAGTTCTAGCGGCATTAAGCTTTTATATAACTGGTGTTTACTAATTCAATAAATATACACCAAAAGCAAAAACGTCTAACTCTACATTCTCCACAAAAGTGGTATTTTTTTATGAATATTTTTAACAGCATAATTCCTTTTAGATTTATCAACTTCTCCCATTTTTTAAAATCGAATTTACATTTAAAAGAATAACATATTAATTTTTGAACTTTAAAAGAGAATATAACAAAATAATAACAGAGAACAAATAGGAAACTAAATAAATAGGGAAAATGCACAAAACATTTACAGCAGGCGTTAAAATTTTGTTTGTTTGAAGTTAAGCCCACAGCTACACAATGGGCTATCTGTGCTCTGCCCACCACGGGTATCAAACCGGGTTTCTAGCGTTGTAAGTCGGCAGACATGTCGTTATGCCACTGGGGTGGGGGCAGCGTTAAAATAAGCAACGAAAACGAGGACGCCGAAGAATATTTCATATTCTTGAAATTGGAATACGTTTACCAAGTGGTCGAAACGTTTACCCTTTACGTAATATTTCCGTTATTTTCATGATCATAAAATAGGTACAACTGAAAATAAAAGTAAATTCATTGTTTGTCCAAACCACAAATCATTATCTACAATCATTAAAACAGTAAAATCGAACCAAATGTTTTATAAAACCAATTAGTGAAAGATGGGGTTCACAACAAAATGATAATATTACCCTCGCATACGTTTAGAAAATAAAAAACATTGAAGGTTTGGTGAGCTGAGATGAGATGAGGGCTGAATACCTGTTAGTATTACTTTATTTGTTGGTTGTTAAACACAAAGTTACACAATGGGCTACTTCGGGTATCGAAACCTGATGTTTAGAGTTAGAACCCCTCAGACTTACCTTTGAGACACTAGAGGACACCTGTTACTATTCTGCAAGGCTAGATTAGAGTAGCTCAACAGTTAGCGGCGGGTGGTGTTCCTCTAGTCAATCACTTCAAAATGACCGTCTATCATGAGTCAAAATTCAATTCTTGCCAAAGTTTGTTCGTCTAAGTCCCGAGCCATGGTGTGTCACCGTTTTTTGTTTATATTTCATGTTTGTTTGTTTTTTCAAGTAAAGAACTAACCAGTTGCCTGCATGCCAGCGTGTTTCTTTTATTCTTTTAACATTTAAGTTTCAAGATCTCCCTTCCTATGTCTTAAAAGTTACTTTGTTACATTGTGGTACGGATATCCAAGGGGTAGAATTAACACATAAACTCACCTTTCAACACAACACCTAACAGTTTCAGTATGTTTTCGTGGTCAAAAGTTGACATTGCTTCAACTTCTCTTTCAAAGTCACTTTCAACTTCAGACGATAAGTTGTCTTTAAGAACTTTTACAGCAACTGGAACTGCTATTCCTGAGTCTTGAATATAACTGCCTAAGGAACGTCGATACGAAAAGGATATGTTACACATAATTAAATACTTTATAAAAAAAAATGATGCGAGCTCAGCTGTTCCATTTCCAAATATCAGTTCGCTAAATAAACATAGAAACTACATAGTTATCAATGAGCAACTGTTAATGTTATAGGCCATCTAATCAGACAATATGGGTTACAATCAGGGTTCCACAGGTAGTAAGTTCTTAATCAGCAACTGTTAATGTTATAGGCCATCTAATCTGACAATATGGGTTACAATCAGGGTTCCACTGGTAGTAAGTTCTTAATCAGCAACTGTTAATGTTATAGGCCATCTAATCTGACAATATGGGTTACAATCAGGGTTTCACAGGTAGTAAGTTCTTAATCAGCAAATGTTAATGTTATAGGCCATCTAATCTGACAATATGGGTTACAATCAGGGATTCCACAGATAGAAAGTTATCAATGAACAACTGTTAATGTTATAGGCCATCTAATCAGACAATATGGTTTACAATCAGGGTTCCACAGATTGTAAGTTCTTAATCAGCAACTGTTAATGTTATAGGCCATCTAATTTTACAATATGGGTTACAATCAGGGATTCCACAGGTAGAAAGTTATCAATGAGCAACTATTAATATTATAGGCCATCTAATCAGACAGTGTGGATTACAATCAGGGATTCCACAGGTAGAGAGTTCTCAATTAGTAACTGTTATAAGCCATCTAATCAGACAGATTATTTTAATGGAAAAATCATGTAATGAGATCAGAGTTCTTATTAATAAGAATACTGATGAAATAATTATGGGTGACTTTAATTATTTAAACATTTATTGGAAATGTATGAAGTCAGATAACAAGGGAAAAAGTCTTCTTGAAGTGATGGTTCTCTATATCAAACAATAAAACCAGATGGACTGTAGTTTTGGAACTCATAAAGATAGTTTTACAATAGTTGAAGTGGGGAAACATTGAGAGGTCATTGCATAATTATGTTTGCCACTTGGTTGTATGCTGAGATAAAAGACAGGCTTGTATTTTTTTTTTATAATTTAACTTTAATTCACGATAGACACGTTCCTTAGAGGAGAGAATGTAACACATGAAAGATCATCCCTAATTAGCTTACTAAAGATACAGAAGAGAAAATCAGGGATAACTGTCATAAGTTTAAAATGTCAAATAGGATAGAAAATTTATAAAACTATAGAAAAGCTAGGAGTTTGGTTCCACACACAGAAGATAAGAAAATCAAAAGGCTTAATGAAAAACAGTTGGTTGATAATATTAAAGCTGTTCGCTTGTTTTTTTTGAATTTCAGTGAAAAGCTACCAGAGGGCTGTCTACGCTAACCTAATTTTGAAGTGATTGATTAATGGAAAGACAGCTACTGTACACCAGATTAGATTAATTTGTTAACAGAGATCAGACAATATGTATTACGTTAGCTCAACACCAGAGGGTGCTAGCAGTACATCTTACAACTGAACTAAGATATATATATATGGAGAGAAATTGATGTAAATAAAAAAAATACCTCTTATAGTAGTTTTCTGTTACAAATTAAACAAAATCGATACAAAGGCAGTAAACACAAAATCGATACAAAGGCAGTAAACACAAAATCGATACAAAGGCAGTGAACACAAAATCGATACAAAGGCAGTAAACGTTTGATCAAAACATTAGTTTCAGATGTAGTCACAAGAAGGTGTTTTATTATTTAACAAAATAATTAATGATGAATATAAAAATCATTACGATATTCTCAAAAGTGTTTCCGGAGTTGAATAAGCTCGAGCCTTAATAAATGTAGCTTATTAAATGGAATTTAAGTTTTCATAAAAAGACCACAATTTTTACCAAGAAAACGCAAATATTAGGGTATTTTGTGCCCTATGGTGATTTTAAATAGACTGACGTTTTTTACTGCATCTACATACCTTTGTAAACTTTACCAAAACAACCTTCACCGACAGTCTCTTGGAAAGTGATGCTTTCGCCGGGGATTTCCATGTCACGTAGCATCTTCAAGAAGGGATTGTCAGGGGAGCTTGAGTAATAGTTTGGGTTAGTAAGGTGATGCTGGGTAATTTTACCTAATGAGCTGACTGAGATTGCATGTGGAAGTTTCCGTCGACAACAGTAATATAACCGGCGGCGCCACCAAAAGCACACCAGGATTCCAGCAATAAGAACAAGGACTACGGTAAAGAGGCATCCGTAAAGAACTGAGGGTTGAGGGTTGACTACTGTGTAGGAGTGAAGGTAATTGGTAGACATGTTTCCAGGACTTTTGGAATGCTATAAGAAATATAAGCTGTACACTAATATTAACTTCTGATCAAAGCAGACTACATTACTCTTAGTGAGATTTTCGGCCGTAATCCCAATAATATCTCACGAAGTTCGGCCAGTTTAGAAAATGTAAGCTAGTCCTAAATCGATATATTTGGTCGTTAAGAAATTAATGTCGCTTTTTTTTAGATGGAAAAAACCGAACAACTTATATATTAAAACACAACACTTAGTAAATGAAATAATCTCCATTCTTATCAATGATGTTTTTCCATCTTACAATCAGGTTATCAATGTACTGATTAAAGAAATCGCTTGCATACGTTTTCCCATTATGATGGTGTTGCAGCGAACGAAAAAGATGGTAATCTGATGGTGTCATATCTGGAGAATATGGTTGGTGGGGGAGAACTTCCCAACCTAACTCCACAATCTTATGTTGCGTCAAACGTGCCACATATGGATGTGCATTGTCATGGAGAAGAAGAACACCTTTCTGATTGACAAGTGAAGGGCGTTTCTGATGAAGAGCTTGATTTAAACGTTCCAATTGCTGACTATAGATCTCTGCATTGACATTTCGCTGTGGATTGAGGAGATCAAAATGAATTACTCCTTTGATGTCCCAGCAAATGCAAAGCATCACTGTGTAGGCTTAACAACAAACATACCCTACAAAATGCCATGTAGGTTAAAATGTGTCCACTACGTAACAAAAGTAATCGTAATACATAGTACAAGCAACCATGGAGTCCAAGTTTTTGGGTCCGAAAATGGTTTTATCTAGGACTGAGCCATTGTTTTTGGTGGTTAATATTCGC